CAACAAAAAATCAAAAACCTCCAAACACCCCCCCCAGCAAACAAACAAAACAAACAAACAGACAAACAAACCAACAAAAACCCCCACAAAAAATCTAACGGACTCCCTGATGATACCATCGTATTGGGGAAAACACTTAATGAATCATTTTTCCAAAGCACTATGAGCACCGTAAAATTGTGTCTTTGCTGTGGACTTCCACAACAAGAGACGAAGCATGCGCATTGTTTATAATCGTATCATACCTGACACTAGGGGTGTGACATATGTTTCATTGACTGTCTATACCGGTACCTCGCCTGACCATCAATGATTTATTTATAGAGGCACCAGCTATCCATGTCCCAGGTGCTGTTTTAGCCTCTGGTACCTCGCAAACTAAATCCACAGCGTACTTTCAGAGAAACGATCTCAGTGCCGACCTCATGGTACCCCCCCCCCCCCACAATCTCAACCCCCGGCGTACCTTCAGAGAAACGACCTCAGTGCCGACCTCAGCGTCAAAGATGAGCCCGGCGCTCAAGGAGCTGTCCTCAAATACCGGCGGGTTGTCGTTCACGTCCACGACCTGTACCCTCACCCACAGAAGTGACGGATCTGACTGATTGTACGACGCCGGCTGGTCGCTGTTCGTTCCCGTAGCAGCAGCCACACTCGCAGCACCAGCAGCAGCAGTAGCAGCAGCAGCACCACCACCAGCAGCAGCAGCAGCAGCAGCAGTCGCGGAGACAGGCTGGTTCATGGGGAAAGAGGCTGAGCTGAGGGCGCAGTTAGAGGAGGCCTTGACCACAATGTCCAGGTATTTTGTCTCCTCTTGGTCGAATTTCCCGATGATGGAAAGCGACCCCGAGTTTTTGTCTATTTGAAATCTTGTCACGTTCTCCCCACCTGCGGATAAACAGCGCTTGGCTACATCCTCATCGGTGACAATGCCAACAACAAAAACAACAACACTGCACTGCCCTACGATGACAAAGAGCCTTTTTCTTCTTCAAAGAAGTTTCGAAAAATCAACGAATTTGTCGGTTTTCCTGTAATATCTCTTGAGCATAGGGAGGGAATGACATTTTCTTCTGTTTGCGAGATCAACCGTTGATGTACTGTGCAAAATAGTTTAGATATCATAATAAGAAAACCGAAAATTGTTGATTTCTCCCAATTGATGTGAAAGAAAAAGGCGTTCCGTCTGTGTAAGACAGTACAGTGCAAACAGTGAGCGAAAAGCAGGCTCAAGTAAAAAAAGAAAAGAAAAAGAAAGTAGAAATAAGGATAATGTGTGTCACAAAATTGCGGAATCAGGCGCCCGTCAATTTTTGGGCATAGGGAGTAATTGTAGAATCTGAAAGCGTGTCCATTTGTTTTGTTTGAACCTATCCGTACGCCCTGGGGTCATTTTGTACCCCCGGTGTTGTATTCTTTGCTTTTTAGAATACTTCTAGATCTCTTTGAAACTTTCAGGATTTCTCAAAAAATCATTTTGACAGACTGCTATGCAAAGAGCACGGATCGGATTAAAGAGTAAATTTCCTCTTTGGAAAGTGGCGGCACAGATCCCCACGTCGTATGGATACGATAGTAAAACACGACGTACGGATTGTGTTAAGATGACCCCCC